GAAATGATCCAGTAAAAGAAACGAACAAATCTCCACCATGACAATGCGAGGACATCTGCGAAATTTCCCAGCATAAAGAAAAAAATTGTTATAACTTTAACTAACATTTTTGCTTCTTCAGGACGAACATCATCTAAATGATATGGCGTTGTTCTAATAATGACACTGCACTCATTATAGCCGCCAGCTGCTCACATGCAGTTCATGCCGATCTGTCAGTCATACCCTTATAAGGCCAAGAACTTATTTCAAATGAGCCGTACTTTGGACTGACAAACTGTTACAAAGCACGTGATTCTTTTAAGGAGTTCTGCCTATAATTGGCTTGTCCAAACGGGAAATGTTTGGCAACCAAACATCATCAAACATCGCCCATCAAACACAAGAACAAAAGAAATGTTTTAAGTTGTTTGATCAAATGTTTGATGGCCTTCAAATTTTATAAAACACAACCGAACACGATCAAACACGCCGACCAAACAGTACTAAACAAGGTGGCCAAACGGTAAAATGTTTGGTCACCAAGCATCTCCCGTTTGGACAGGCCTTTAGTCCTCGGACAAACTAATGCTTTAAATAGACAAAGCCATATTTTGATGTTGTTTTGATTTCAAGTTTTGCTACGAAAATCCGTATATTATACATGAATAAGTTTTATCTACTTTTATGGATGAATTTATGGATTTAAACTTGTACTAGTGTGAAAATATTGAAGAAATTTGATAATCTCATCAGCAATTTACTAAGGAGACGCTTTACTTAACACAAAAATTTTAAGAATGAAGCCATAAGCACTAATTAAGTGGAGGCTGGTCAAACTTACTCCAGTACTAGAGTGAGTCCCTAACCAGAGTTGTGAGCAAAAAAAGTTTTAATGTTTATTTTTGATAGAACAGGTCAGTTCTTTATCTTTCGCCGGTTTTCGGCTTTCATTTGATTACGTAACAATATGTAACACAGACGCTCAGTTTCTTTTTCTGTTGGCGAAGGCTCACGTGTCAGCATGGATTTTATTAGTTTGTTTGCCTGAAGCATTTTTCATTACAGTGGGCGGCATTGCTTCACTGGTTAAAAGGAAAAACAACTCCTGCGCATGAGCAGATTTATTTTGTGTTACCCGAAAACTGTAAAAATCCTGCTGATCATTAGCTCTATCTTGATCTGCTATTTTTGACAGATCTTTTAACATAAACTTTGTGTTGACTTTACATTTAGTTTTGTGATTCTTTTTTTAATTATTTACTTATATAATATATTTATTTATAGTAACATATCTATTTAAATATAGATATTAGTGTAAGTATTGAGCGCTTGTCTCGAATTTTAGTTATAAGAGCTTTAGCTATTTGTACGAAATAAAGTCTTCTATTCCATTCCTTTTTCTGCCTAGAGTGTTAAACTTAAACAAAATCCATAAGCACTGTAAACGTTATCAGAGGCAAAAATTGTTGTCAGCTTCGTGTTGGACATACAAAATTTTACGCAGACTTCTTATTTACCCGCTGAGCGAGATAACTTTTTGAGAGGCCAAATGTTGGCTTTTAACGCACGGGTTCCAAGGATGACTTTAAAAACTCCTTACTAATTCGAAAAGAAACTACAAAATCTGTTTAAGAAAAAACCGTTGAATTTTTAGCAGCGACAAAAAGAAAGAACAGATGTTTAGAAAGAAAGAAAAAACAGATCTCTTCGAAAGGTTTTTGAAGCCCTATTTCATTGACTTGAAAATGATGTTATGCTTCATAAAACACTCTGTAGGAAAACGAGGCTAGCATGCACTGGACACGGGCCTCCAGTTAGTTGATCGTAATGAGTAGGTGTTATTGATGACTTTACGCACTGATGGAGATTTCGAGCTTTGTTTCTAGTTACCTACTTTGTATTCAAGTCTGGGGCAAAATTTCTTAAGTGCTACTTGAAAGTGTTAATTGCTGTGGACTGAGTTAATCGCCCATGCACTACACGTCTACGTATTTGTAGTGCATGAGACCAACCAAGATCATTTATCAGTTTGCTCGAACCGAAGGCTTAATGACTGCAAGCCACAAAACCAGTGAGGCAAATCCAAACACTATTATGAAAAACGCTTCGGGCATCAAAATGATTAAACAACACTGAGTCCGGTATGTCTTTGAATAAATAGCTGATTGTAGTTGGCTTATCTGAAAACTGCTGCGAGTGTTTTCATTACATAATCGATTACACAATAAAAAGATAACCTGCACGTGAAAGAAAATGGAAACAAAAAATAGCTTATGAACTTACATCCTAAGGGGCACTGTTACGAGTTATGGAAAAATCGAAAGACCTATTTGCAAAAGTGAAAACATTACTAAAATGTTCCTGTTTTGTTTAATAAGAAGCACTTCGTAAGAGGCAACGAAACTATTTACGGTTGTCTTGCGCCATAAACGAAGACGAGGGAAAGGGCTGGCAATTAATAGAGTTAACTTTATGAAGTTATGCCATCATAGTTTGGACAATTTTTTTTTAAAAATGAAGTTGCAGGGGCGGAGGATGAACTTGAAGGCTTCTGATCAGGTGCAATTTCTCAAGGGAGCCCACACAAGATTATGTACGATGGGCACAGCTTGTTTGATCTGGAAAATTCAGAGAAGTTTAAGGAACTTAAATCGCCAGAGCTGAAAAAAGTCTTTTGCACTTTTGAACTCTATTCACAAGGGTAAAGGAGAAAGTTCCCCTTCATTAATGCATTGACCAAGTTGATTGTTTTGGACGTCTCACTAACAAGCGCATTAACCAGGCTTTGACTAAGTAACACAAGTTTGCCTAGACTTTTATGAGTTGGCGAGTCTAAGGGTGCAGAGAGAATTAGGTTTTGAAGGTTTTAAATTGAAACATGGCAGGTTTGTTAAGAGGATGCCAGGGTGACGACGTCTTTTGTTGATGACGTCATCGTCCTATAGTAAAAAGCGCTTGTTTTTTTACCACATTACGGTCAGTTGGTACACTTATCTTGTCGAAAGGTCCGTAAAGGAATAATACATTTTTTATGACGCTGCTAAGCGGTTAAGGCTATTACACATGCTAACGGTGACCCTCAATCCTGCGTACGCAAAACCTCAGGTTTACTCATCCGTGAACTTGTGGAGAAGAGGTAAGGGATTGCGGGTAAAAGATTTAACATGAGCATGGTGAATTATTGTACATTAAACTGCAGACACATCTGAAATCACTTCGTAAAAGAAAGAACACCTTTATTCTCTTCGCGATGTCGGGAATACACTCTGGTCACTAATTTTCTCTGCTGTTTCCTATATTTAGAATAAATATTATTAGGACTCTCTTGCTATCGAGTTAAATCTGTTAGGTTTATACCGTATCATATATTTATTTGTTGCATGGAATAGCGATTTTAACCTTTTTCAAGAAAACGAAAATCTGGAATTGTCCAGTGAGCCATCGCTAATAATTGCAGAAGCTAATTTTATTATATGACAGAAATTCTATTATCCATTGTAATTTTGTGGCAACACCTGGCGAGTATTTGTGTGAAGGTTATTGACAAAGTTGCTAGAACACTCTGTCGTTCATTATTTTTGTTTCGGCCCCGTTAAATTTGCCGAATTTTTTTTTTAAAACGAATCGATTTTACTGCAAGCAATCAGTATTCAGGCAGAGTGGCAAGCTTTAATGCGATGTGGCAAGAGAGATATACGCCTTTGGATTTCTGTTAATTTTGAGTGTAAAAAATTCAAAAAGTACACCCACCAAAAGTATAATCGATCGGATTAACCAATTTCGAATAAATAAGTTTAGGAGTAGTTTCTAAAAATGCAATAAAGAGGGACAGTTCTTTGAATGTGTATCGGCAATGGAAGATTTACTTTGAAGACAGGGTTGTACTTGAGGGCTTAAAAACAGCTTCTCTTAACCAATATATGCCGCCGTTCCTAGGCACCCAAAAGCCGGCCATGTCAATAATTTCCGAAAGAGGAGGAATTAGAGCCTAAAATTGCCTAATCCTTATCAAAGACCCCAAATCAAGTCTACATGCAAATTTTTTTAAATAACCAATTCGGTGAGATAGTGTAGCAGCGACTTTTCAATATAGTTCGAATCTTACAGATAACTGCTTTTGAAGCAAAAGTTTATATTTTCAATCAAACTGATAAGAAAATACAGTAGCCAACTAAATGCCTTAATAAAAGCATCAAGAAGATCGCTTCAAATATATCTACATCTAAGCAGGTATCTATTAATAAAACATTACTTTAATCTGTTAGTATTGATGCCCATTTGGTCAAATATATGAATGGTCGCTTAATCACAGTGAACTGTCTTTTCGGTGGCATAAAATAATTCAGTAGCAAAAACTACCTTTTAGTTTCTGCATTCCGGGAATGTATGATGTGTGAGAATATAGGAGGTTATGCATAGCACCCAGAATAGGTCAATGTACATTTGTTTTGTTTTCTTTTATTGTAAAGGTTCGCTGAATCTGCGGGAACACGTGGAATGTTACGGTCGGAGGCCCATATTAATGAATGACGGTGTTCTAGTGGCCGGTCTTACGAACCCCTGAGGAGTTATTTTGTTTGCTTCACAACAGACAAAAGGGTTCACTCGCCCGTCAACTCACTTTAAGACCAACGAACAATCAAAACTGGAGCTCATTGCAACTGCGCCCCGGATCTAACCGGTACTCATCTAAAAGTAAGTCAAACCGGTTTACCTAGTTTTAATTATCTAAACCAACAATTTTTTCGTTGGTGTTCCTGACACAGCTTCTTGTTTTTCAAACTTTAAAGATCAACTCAACAGCTTCCTGGTTAAGGATAGAGTGCTGAAATGGAGAGTGGTGACGTCGCGATCGATCTTTCAGGCGGCAATTACAGGCCGGGCGCCCCACACTCACCAACCATTGGTCGTGCATCTGACGTCGAAAAGCGAAATGGCCATGTGGTTAGTTTAAGCTAAACTTCGTTGTTCTTTGCCTTAAGAAGTTCTCGACTTCGATTTAAAGCATTTCGCTGAATTTAGTAGCATCACTCCTAAGTACACCATCAGTACTTTGCATTTTTCAGAAGTGCGGACCAATATCATAAGAAGGGTTTTCTGCCAAACAAATGCGAAAAAAGTCCATAAACATTCGGAGAAAGTTACTGCGCGCGAAAGATTTTTGCCATAAACTAATTGTTAGTGTTGTAGAATAGATTTAAACGTTACGTAACAACTTGTGGTGCCAAAGTAGGCAAATTCGATTAATACACGATAACGCATATCACGCGTCTACCGTTCCAATCCATTTTAATATGGCCACCCCTAATGTATAAACGTTTTTCTACTTTGCAAAATAGCAGGAAGGTGTACAGCGCTGTCTAGAACAACAGCTTTTTACTAGCCTTAAGAGTTAACCGGTTTACAAACGGTAGTAAGATCTAAAGATACACTGATAGTCTTACACCGAGGCTTAGCCGCAGGGAAGCTGTCGTATGCTTTTTCGTATGCTTATACTTTCAAGCGTTCCTTTTTATTCGTCAAGGCACAGAAATGATCAAAGTCGCCCTATCGCCGTTTCTTTAACGTCAACGGCTAAGACCAAACCAAAATGAAACCTTTCAGCGAAAAGTTGTAGCTGGTCTCGCTAACTCGTTACTTCAGGTTTGCAAATTTGTCAAAGACTTTTCCAAACAAGACGCAAAAATCGAAAAGCGCATAAAAATATGCCTATATCTACCGTTTAAATACTGAAATACGTTCAACAATGCTATGTTTAAGTGGTTTTGAACTATATTCTCGTTGCGTGCCCCTGATCTTTCCAAAAGCACCTCATTATCCATGCAAAAACTTTAGATCACGGAAACTGTCGGAACAGCACTTTTTGGGGGTCAAAGTCTGTTAAGCGATTTAATGGAAAAGAGATAAGTAAAACAGTCGATTGCCAGTTACAGAGCCATTGAGGCGAGACGCACGAATGAATAGTTCAACTGTTTAAGAACAGTTTACCCAGAAAAATAGATTTTTCAGTCACTTTGTTTTTGCAAACCTTCGATCTTTATTTCAAGTCTGTGCACAGTTGAAGCAGAGCGCAGTGTGGGGGCTCTATTACTAAAGCCGAAAACATTAACCAAGGTGTTTTATATGTTGAAGAGTACAGAATTGATTGCGCGAACAAATTTTGCGTGCCAGGTGCGACGAAAAAAAATCATTTCGGAAATAACGAATTGACGAGCAATTGATTGATTCAAACATAAGCGGCGTCAAACGTTTGATCTTACTTTCGTTTTTCGAAGATTCTGGTTTCCGCAAGATCAAACTTCAGTTTTTGTTTACGTATGTCCAGCGCGTGATCGCCGCTTTTTTTTAATTTTCACGTTAACTACACGTGATATTGACGAATGTTGCTATAGTTATAGTGTGCGCACGCAACAGTAATCATCCTCACATTGTTCCCTACAGTGACAGCCCCAAATAAGGGGTAACGTTGCTTGAAGTAGCTACCCAAACACTTTACCTGCTTTACAAACGCAAAGGGAGCCCGAGCGCTTTGCATGTGTCTTATTCCTTCCAATGCAATGAAATCAAAATGTTTTACCAGGGTCTCTGTGTATTTCTTTCGTCGTTCAAGCGCGTTAGCGGAAACTGCAATCAACATGAAAGTCTGAAGTTTTAAGTATCACCTGAAACCCGAGACTCGCTCCCCTGAAGAGTAATATCATATACTTGAAGCTCGAGACGTTAATGTCGGATCCAGATTCCGACCCGCTTGAACGGATGATATTTTGTATTTGAACGGAGAAACCGTCTTCGCTGTGATGCAAATCCCTTCCAAAACGACCAAAGATAGACACAGATGCACGTGTAAATCCTTGCCATTTTGATGAATTCGAATGAATAAGCTATAGAGCGCTTCTTGTACAGTTGTAAAAGCACAAGTCTTAGAATGAAACAGGTTTCATCCTATTCCTTGAGATCTTGTTCCTATTTGTTTCTTTCACTGTTCTGTATCCTGTTTATCATTGAGCCAAGGAATTCTGCCCTTTGGCCGCTCAGAGGGAAGCGAAACAAACCTCTTTGTTAAAAATCCAAATTGATCTTGGCATTTTTAACATAATGAAGGTCATTTCGTGTTTTTGTTACTTAGAGAAAGCTCCACTCTTGCTCTACAGTATGCCACTTTATATAGCTAGCTAGCTGTTATGACTTGGTCGATTGAAATGCTAATTTTAAAAAGCTTCACGTTTTGCATCACATTGTTTGTTCTATAATGGGATGAAGACAGAACTAACAGAAAAACAGAAGTAAGCTGATCGGAGATGCAGTCTGTTAGGCGATTTGGCAAAATGTCATTAACTGTGAAAAAACTGTATAATTTTTCTTCAGCTTAACAAAACATGAAATTCTGTTGTGGAAATGTTACGCAGAATCACTTAAATAAATCCTCTTAAGCAGCACTGTCATATGCCTTTTCTTTTTTAAAGGATTTAACAAAGTGTAGTATCAATATTTTCACTCATTTCCAGGGACAGAATGGTTTATTAGTCACTGCTAGAGCCTCTGGAAAAGGCTGGATTAACAGTCAACTTTTAAAACAAGTGATGACAAGTGATAAAGCGAGTGAAATTTTTCCCCAGTACATAACCATTAAACCTTCCTCAGCCACCAACGAACAAAGAACAACCTTTTTGCGACACTGTTTTTTTTTTTACATTGGCATCCTTTAACGTCACAGTTCGTCTCTGATTATTAATAACATAGTGAATCTTGGTAGCTCATGGTTATACAGCACCCAACGACTGTTTTCTGTAAAATATCTGTTCCAAGAAGCACGTATTATCTAGAAATTTTTATTTTTTAAGAGAGGCTATACAAGTCTAGATGACTGCCCCATTTATCTCAGATTTTCGAAGCTTGTCCATTAACTTCTCTACGATTTTCGATAGTTGGGTTTTTCACATTTCGCTCCCCCGGGTTTGATCATTATGCGTAAAAAAAACTCCCCTAAAACTTTCGGCTTTGGGAATAGTGACCGAAAGACGACTCAGAGAATGTCGAGGTTTCGTAAACCTTTAAATCGCATATATGATTGTCGGGAAAATAATAAGAAAGCGCTAATAAATTTGAGAAGGCAAAAGGTACCTTAGGATGACGGAACAGATAAAAATTGTATAGAGCTTCTTAGAATGCATTTGCAGAGTCAAAAACACTCTAGGTAGCCTTAAATTCACTTGAGAACATTTCCAGGGAAAAAGCCGTCTTTGGGTGCCCCTGAGTAAAAGAAACAGACGTAGATGACGATGGAAGTTAATGTTTTTGATCGATTTGTTATAGGAAGTAAAGGACAGCGAGCCACCCCGCCGGCGACGAAGAAGAACTCCACTAGAGTGGTGCAAAAAATATTTCTGGGAAGGTTAGAGTCGAAATTCTTGTTACATTTTTGTTAAAATTATGAGCCACAACCTTTTGTTCCGCGAATGGCTGCTAGAACACCACTGAAGAGTTATAGTTCAAGTTTTGAAAAGTGGTAAGCTATGGGTAGCTGGGAGGTGTTAAGATTTTTTTCAACTTTTAAAAGTTAGCCTAAGGATACTCACTGAGCTCTTAAACGTCCACTTCTTTTTCTTTGTTTGTTTATTTGTTTTATGAAAAGTTAGGTTATTTGCTACAAATGGTTGAATCATTTAAATACCTCGTTTTCTTTTAGGTCAAACACTGACCGCAGAGGGAAACGAAGCAATTGCAAACTTGGACCCCAACGCGCCATGGCATACGAAGCTTCTTGTCAAGTATCGTCGCTTCGTGGGTATCGGCATAGCGTCTGGCTTCTGCCACATTGTCTGGTGGACTCTTGCTATCAGATACAACTGGTTCGCTATCTTTCCTGATAATTACTTCATGACTTTAACGATGGTTGTTGGCGGTACCGTCGCAGGTAATGTGATCCTTTAACGTAACAGCCATTTCCAAACTAACGACTTAACTAAAGCGTGGTCAAGTTGGGGGAATGGAACTATGCTCTGAGACACTGATTTTGTAACGGGCTCTTTCAAGGCAATATCATCAGACATTAATCACCAGCCTAGTATTTTTCCACGACAGAGTGAGCCTTTAATAAAATAGCGTTAGTTTCTTAGTAAGTTGCTCGTGTTCCCCTGCATCAACACCAAGCATCTGTTGCAAAGATTGTCTCCAGTGTTAGGTTATAAAGGTATTGTGATACAGAATCGATAATGTGGAACTTTTCTTGCTACAGGAATGACCAGTGAAGGTGGAGGAGCGGTTGCTTTTCCTGTCTTAACCCTTGCTGTTGGCGAGAAACCTTCTATTGCACGCGATGTCGCACTGTTAGTGCAATCCTGTGGTATGTCAGCGGCGACGTTCACCATCTTCTTTATGCGTGTGCAGCTAGAGTGGCACTCCATAGTATTCTGTTTCCTTGGGGGAGTCTTTGGCGTAATACTTGGCCTGGAGTTTGTCGATCCTTATGTAAGTGCCGTCGTGAAGAAGATGATTTTCGTCTGCGTCTGGTTCACCTTTGCCTTCGCTCTGTTTCTTTTGAACCGCTACTACAAGAGAAAGACATATAAGACAATCCCCGATGTTAAGTTGTGGAAGATAATCACCCTTCTCGTCACTGGCTTCATTGGTGGAATCTTCACTGCCGTTGTTGGTGGGGGAGTAGACATCTGCAGCTTCAGCGTCTTGACACTTCTATTCCGTGTCACTGAAAAGACAGCCACACCTACATCCGTGGTCATGATGGCATGGACCTCCTTGGTTGGAATCGGATGGCGTCGTCTCATTCAAGATACGGTAGATCTACAGGCGTGGCACTACATCATTGTTACTGCCCCAGTTGTTATGCTTATGGCTCCCCTTGGCTCCCTCCTGGGAACTCACTTCCATCGCCAGGTTCTTGCTGCTTTGATCTACATCTTGGACACCATTTCTCTGGTAACTGCCTTTGCAATCCTACCGCTCTCTGGCGCTGTGATTGGCCTGTCCGTGGGGATGTTAGTCTTCGGGTTCGCCTTTTTCGGCTTTATCGCGTGGCTTGGCAATAAAATCATGGCAGATATTGAAGCGAAAGAGGAAGAGAATAGGGCGGCAGAGAAAGAAAAGGAGGCTGCACAAAAGGGATTCGATAACGAAGCGTTCAAAGATAGTACCGCTTTGTAGACACAAGAAAGAATGAAGTGAATATACTGTAATGGATAAGCGAATTTCTTTTTATTCTACCTACCTTTTTAATATGTGCTAGGTCATTGTTATAACGCTTTTAAAAATACTATTATTTCTGCGACCTTTGTTGCATTTTAAGCCTACAGTTGTAGAATGTTAATACATCTAACTCAAAGTGTCATAAGAACAAACGCAGTTCCAGAAGTAGGACTGAAAATTCCAGAAAGATGGTCAAGGTTTAATCTTAATTTCGGCACTTGCCATCTGAAGGCACCGTAGGTAGAGCTTTCCGCTTAGGAGAGTGGCGTTAAGAGAGGCTCGACTGTAACTGAACATATAAAAATAATTTGTTTAGTATTGCTTTTTGTAGTATCATTTTAGAAAGCTTTTACGGCTTAGAGAGAAAACTGATTGAATTTACACTTCCGTATATTTATTTTGTTTCGTATTTAATAGGCCCCTGGTCGTATAGTAATTTTGCAGTTGGGCTGATGACAGAGATCTGCAGGACACTAAAAAAGAAAAAACAAACAAACAAAAATGCAAAACAATATGCGCTCAGCTGGAATATTGTAAAAAGTAGGGCCATACAAATATTATATAGCTGAATTTGATATATTTTATGAAAGTGAAGAATTGTTAATTGTGACTTTCTCGCTTTATATTTGAGTATACTCTTACATCTTATTTTCTTATAGTAAACCCAGTGTGGCTTTTTGGGCTCCTCGAGCACTTGTTGTGCACATCTTATCGATGTGCCATTTAAAAGTTATTAACCTTGGTTCACATTATACTAAACACAATGTAAACTGCTGACTAGAGATAATTGTTCCGTCTATTTTAGTTCTTGACGATATTGCAATTTATATTTTTTGTAGTTAATGCTGTTTTTCGTTTTAGTGCTAACTGTATAAGGGTTGAAGTCTTCAACGTAAGACAAACTTTGAATAATGTTTGAATGTAAATAACGTTATAAAATTAACAGATTATCTGTTACTTTGTTTAGTCTCCCTTTGAGCAGAAATATACATTTGTAACGTTGCGTCTAGTTGTTTTTCTTTCCTTGAACACATCGCGATAATTGAATTGATTTTGACGCGTTGATGCAAGTTAACGGATGAAAAAAAATATATTTTGTCCTTTGTGCGGCAATACACTTGGTATATGCATATAGGAACTCAGGGAACATATAGGGGGCCAGAGAAGGATAGGCATTGTATTGAAGGGGGTCAGGAGGATGAGGGCGTATGGATTTCAAGTAGCGTAGTCCAGGATAGGGTATCTTCATATCAGAGAGGTTTTAAGAATAGGCATCGAAATTCGGAAGGCTGGAAAAGGGTGGGAAAATTTGGTTTCTTGTCAACCAAAATTCAAAGACATGGTCCGGGGAAGGGGTTTGAAGTCTTAGGTGGGCACTCGCCACCCCGTCCCCTCGGGTTCATGAGATCAGTCACTGGAACACGCTTGGCCATCAAGTGTTGAATGTCACATGTTCCCCTAAACGGGCGAAAAAAAAGGCCTACAGAAGAAATAACAAACATCTTACATGGATGATATTTTGCCCCTAAGGCGGCGACCTTTGTAGAAAACCGCTTTTTTTGTCTTCCACAAGTTTTACGTTCTATGACAAGATCGGCAGGAGACGAGAAATTTAAAGTGAGAGCACTTTTAGCGTGCGTAGCAGGCGCCGGTTTGTTTTTTTAGGGCGAAGGAAGAAATCTCGAGGACGCGCTACGCAGGGTAGAACACTTTAGGCATGGAATATATTCCAATGAACTCCACCACTGAAAACGTTTTTGCGTTTGCCGGTTTTCCGTTTACTTGGATTATGTAATCATGGATATGTAACATCAGCACCCTGCTGTCAGTACTTACTCTAGGCATACCGGCCGGTTTTGTTTAATCATTTCGAGGCCCGAAGCATTTTTCATTACTGAGGCTGGCCTTGCCTCACTGACTACATTGAAGTTAGCCAGTGAGGCTTGACTTGTACGCTGTCGAGTAAAGGTAGTAAAGATGAAGTAAAGCTTCCTTGTTGTACACGCTTTTGCATCCTCAGTTTATCCATTTGTTTAAGACTCAGTAAAGTATCAGTATAGGAACCGCTTAAGGATAAGTGTTATCTTTCCTGCAGTGGTATGGTGGTGATGACGATAATGGTTGACTATGATAATGTTTACATTCATTTACAACCTGTTAGAGTTTTGCTTCAGTGCGGTTTAAGACAAATTAACCTTGCTGAGGCGCGGAGATGAATGATTCACCCACAACGAAAACCTAAAGGACATTTTTATTCTTTGCTGATACAAATAGCGTAAGATTTGATTTTGTTCCTAAATCGTTTGTGGAAGTTGTCCTGCTTTAGACTAGAACTGAAGGAGCTTTTCAGTCCTGGACTGTCAAAGTAGCAAAACTTTCTCCGCCTACTACAACACTTGATCTGTATCAGTTGAATAGACAAGACAAGACATTTATTATCAAAATATTGCCTGTGCAATTTCTTGGCACGCAGTTAGCCAAAAACACTAGTCGTGGCGTGCCAAACTAATTCTACTACAAGTCAGATATTACAGATAATAACTAAAAAGCAAAGAAAAAGAAAAGAAGAATATGTGTAGTAAAGACAAAAGCAAAAACAGACAACTCTGTTTAATGCAAGTTGTAAAAAGCCGGAAGGTAAAAATATTGGACTGATTGATCATGACAGATAGTTTCTTTGCGTGTGAAGACCCATCCACTTGGCTGTATCAAATTAAGCTAAAGAAGGCTGTGTCGAGGGCTTTGTCTAAAGTCCAGCACTACAGAATCACGTGCTTTGTGACGCACTTTCTCGCTCCAAACTCAACTCCTGCAAAATTCGACAACGTTTGACAAATTCAACTAAGTTGAATAATAGTAGTAAAGTTTGAAACGGCGAGCGGAGTTCATTTTTGCAGTGGCGTTTTTGGTGCTGCCGTCGTCGTCTTGGTTGCTTAAGGTCCCTAATCACGCACGGTTGGCGAATACGCGTGTGGTCAGCCGATGAATAAGGCACAGTGGGCTCTCTCCTCCGCCGAGATTCCCGCTGAGTATCCCAAAATAAATAGCAATGATCAAAAAAATAGAAAGCGCACGAGGCACGATCCATCCCTTCCCATCGTGCCCAGCGCGCTCTCTTTTTCTTTCTCCCCAACCTCCCTATCCTGCGAGAGCATTCGGATTTTTCAGCTCAAGTTTCTAGTTTCACCTGCCGTTTTTTCCGACGAGTGAAACTAGAAACTTGAGCCTAAAAAAACCGGATGCTCTTGCAGGTAACAGCCTCCTTGCAACACAAAGAGGCCTCGGTGGAGGAGAAAACACAGCGGGAGCATTTTTTTGTTCATGTTCAGTATTGATAATTACATAATAATTGGTAGAACTAAGACACGTTATATATTTACGTTCGCAAAGGTTATCTTTATAGTGATTAAGTGTAGTGTACCACAAATTTAGAATGGTCAAAGCAATTGAATAGATTGATTGAAACGTCCGTCTTCAGTTAAACGTGTCAAAAGTGAAGCTTCCCTCACTGATTAGTCTTGAAAGTAAGGCATTTTAAGGGACAGTAGTAGCGTTAGCGTCACCGATTGTAAGGCCATCTCCCCAATTCACCCCATTTTTCATTGCCACTTGTCTCCCAAAAACAATCCAAAACAACATTGCTCAACAAAACCAGGTCCTACAACCACCGATTTAACTGCTTACTGACTTGGAACATTAGCAACAGAGTGGGTCATTGCTTGCATGCAAACAGCACAAGGAAACGGCATTCCAGTGCGGCAACACACCAAAATTTAAAACAACCCCACGCCCCTGGAATTTACCCAGGCTACCCCAAATGCTTACCAGATGATAGCCCTGTGTTTGTGCAACAACATGACACCCAGCTAGATACAAAACCACCTCAATTTGAAGGAGACACTGAGCTTTGAGAGACCGTCAGGGATAAGCCCCGGTACAAAAATTCAGTAAATCCACAATCCAGCACAAATCATGCTCTTTAGAACAACCCCACCTCCCTGGAATTTAACCAGGCTACCCCAAATACATACCAGGGCCGGGTTGCTCGAAGCATGGTTAGCGTTAACCAGCGTTTAATACCTTGACAATGTATTGGTTTTGATACTGCTTAACCAATGGTTAAAGCTAACCATGCTTTGAGCAACTCAGCCCAGATGATAATCCTGTGTCTGTGCAACAACATGACATCCTCCTGGAGATTGATTATATAGTTACTCCATGTTGCCCTGCCAAGCACCATTTTGAAACACGAGCCTTTGCAGCGCTGGTACCATGCATGGACTACCCAAAGGTAACAACAAATAACAAATAAGAGAAAAAACAAATAATAGAAAAAATGTTACACTTGGATCTTACATCTTTCACAACTACCATTTTTAGGGCAGTACCTGCGAGCTATCAATATATTGCGCTTGACTAATAAGTGTATTCTCATACAGGAATTATCAAGGCGCCTTGCCCTGTCTTCTCTGCAAAACTTAAACGCTAGCTTTAGTTGAGGTTAAGCATTACGGTTACGTCAAATTTGTACCTCGTGACCAAGTCTCCCCTTAACTTACTGTTCATTAATTCTACACATAATTTAGTAGTTTCATGCAATTTTCTATCCATAAGAATTATTTTAAGCTGTTTTTATCTGCTCATTTTCTGTTTTGAGAAATTGTCACCTTGAATCTGACGTTTGCCGTTTGCAGTATACGTGAAGCTTAATGTCACTATTATTTGAAAAAGCAAGAGAGGTTCGCAGCATATTTAATTAAAAGGGTGAGTAAAGCCCTATATTTTGTAGTGTTTCGTTTTAAAAAACGCCAGTTTATTTTTGACTGTTTGAAGTCCACCGCATGGTTACCATGGTAGCACTGGCGCGTCAGTTTTAGATACGTTTCTAGGGAAACTGCCCACCTACCCCTCCCCTAAGCCAACATTAACACTTACTTCTCACTTAGGGCAAAATGTTGGCTGAGGGGAGGGGTAGGTGGGCAGTTTCCTAGAAACGTATAATGATCCATTTTAGTAAAAGGCTGCGTCCCAACCTTGTCCCCAGGGTCTGACCCTGGGGACAAGGTTGGGCCGCGTCCATAGTCTTCTGTCGCCAGATGGTGCTCTATACATCGACGCAAAATAGGGAGAGAAAAAAAACGGTTGTGCACGACCACACTACTTCAGGTTCGAAAAATGAACGTTAGTAAACGGATCCTTCCCTTTGGTTTTTTGTTTTTGTTTTTGCTTTCAAGTTTTGGTAAAGACAGTTAGCGAATATCCATTGACACTGTACTGCTGGAAGAACGGTTTAAAATTAGAAAACTTTCCAAGTTTCAGGGTGATTCGTTAAAGTGGGCCTTTGAAGATATTGCTGCACAAAGGCGTGAAATTATACAGGGACGCTTATGTGGTGGGGGCGCGAGCTTGCCCCCCACCACATACACACACCACACAAACGTATGTAAAATGCGGTGACTTTGCGGAGCGATATCTTTCGTTAGTTTCCAACAAATCACGTTCAAAATTAGCAACTGTACTTGTTGTAAGGCATTCTTTTTTTTATTTTAGCCGTGTTGACGAATTTTTCACTTACTGGCCTCAGACAAAAAATATTCTTCATAATTTAAATGTCCTTCATATTTTAAGAGTTTAGAATATTTTTACTTCATATTAATGTTTATATTTCAAAGCTCTGAAAGCTTGTGCAAGAGCAAGAACGCTTATATTTCGATCTTGGGCTAACCCGGTACAACAAATAGTATTTAACATAAAAGACCATCTGGGTATAAAATTATATTAGTTGCCTCAGTGTTAAGTTGTTTCATCAAATAATCCATTTAAATTTTATTAGGAAGGCTTCACATACATGAGAAATTTATCCTTGTAATCGCTAACTAACAAAAATGGACGTTATCAAGAAATATTTTTCTCGGCTAAGAGAACCGACAGGATATTTTAATCAAGGGGGTGTATTATATTTCTTTATTTTAATAATTAATGCAAATTTCGAAATCTTACTGTTACCAGACAGCTGGCCTTGAAACTTAAAAACTACCAGTTCCTGAAAAATCGAAAAATGTTTTTGAATATCGTTAAATTATTGCCTTACTCCTTAAATTATTGAAAATTCTTGAAGTTTCTTGAACAAGTTAGTCGTCGTTGTTTTACGGTATAACAGGTTTATTTCTGCAAACAGGACTTTCTTTTTTTACTTTATTTCTCTCTCTCGCTCTCCTTTTTATTTTGTAAATTCACTAGTTACCATAAAGGATAGACACAATTTGAACAAATCTCAAGCTCTGTAACAATTTTTTTTGCTGGAAAAGTAATTGCAGTTTGGTACAGGTCTTTTAAGTAAACTGGTCTTTGGAAAAAAACCAAGTATATAGATAAAATATGCCACTATGAAAAATGAAGCTTACTTGCAGGAGGAAATTGCAGGAAAATACGCCTTTTATGTTGGAACTCTTTTTGGTTATTTTTATCAAGAATGCTTATTGGCGGAAGACAGATTCAAAAAAGAGGATTTAGTTAAAAATGCTTTTGTTTTTTCGCCAAAGTGTTAAATTGAAGTTTTTTTTTACAAATATGTTTTTCTTCCTATGAAAGCGCCATTCGGGCTTCTAAGGGTGCTGTGCCCTTTTTCATTAGCACTTTCTTGTAAAGTGCAAATTATCTTAGCCTTGCGGGAAAGCGCAATACTCCTCTTTTATCTTTGATGTAAATTTTTCCATTTCATTTTCCTATTCAACCTTATTTGTATTGTTATCTTTGTTTGCCATAAACAGTTTTTGTCATTTTTTATTACCTTAAGTTTGTTTTCATATTTCCCCCGCCTCGATTAACCCTTTATGCTATTAGCGGGGGGAAAGTTTATTGTGTGATTTCTTGTACCTGTAACTAATTTACTGAGTTTGTATTTACTTTGTATCTGAAATATTCGGAATAAAATTGTTGTTGTTGTAAGTGCTGTAAACGATGGTTCTAGGTTTGAACATGGAAACAATCCTGGCTGTCTTAAGTGCTATTCCATTTCAGGCAAGCTTCCGTGCTCTGCTTTCCTGTGGCACAACTGGTTTTTACCTTCGATTAAATCTGGATGAAGTCCGTCCTAGTTTTATTGTATGCATTCTTATCAGCAACGTCATTAAGAACTATTGCTAATAATTTTAGCCACATTAAGAAGTAAAAAAGATAAGTTGATGTACAATTTAGCAGCTGGTCATGTTTGATGGGATCTTTTCTTTTCTACCCACACCGCTGAGTAACAATGACGTACATGTACTGATTCGTTTTTTCCAGTATCTTAATTTGATTGACATCAATTTCCTGGTGATATCTCTTGTAACAATAACTTATTAATTAGAAAACTGAGTCCTGGCACCTTCATATTTCGCGAAATGAAATTTAAAAACACGAAACAAAAATAGCTGAGATTTCGAAATCTGGTTAAAACAGCTTCTGAAAGCATAACTTTCTTTTCCCTTTTTCTTCCATTTTTGGCCATAAAGGATGAAAAAATTTGAAAAGATTTCAAACATTTGTATTAATTTTTTCCTGTGGAAAGGTAACTCCAACTTCGTACGGTTTATATTAAATAAATATGGGTTTTCAGAAAACATCAAATTGACTTAAATTTGTCATGAAATGAAGCTTATTTGCATAAAAACAGAAGGAAAACTTTCCATTTTTATCAATGCTAATTGGCGGAAAACAGGTCCAGGAAGGAGTATTTGGTTAAAAAGGCGGGTTTTTTGGCCATCGCCATTGAAGTTTTGTTTTGCAGATAGGTCTTTTTTTATTATCAAGAAAGCCGGAATAAAACGCTCTCCCTGCACGAACGGTATTTTTCTTTTTTTATCTTGGCGCCTATAAAAGCTCTACACGTGATTATAGGGGTGCTGTGTCCTATTTTATCGGCAATTTTCTGTAAAGTGCTGTAAACGATGGTTGAAGTTTTGAACTTGGAAACAATCCTGGTTATCGTAACTGCTTTTCTATTTTTAAACTTCCGTGCTCTGCTTTCTTGTGGCCTAGTTTGTTGTATCTTATCAAGTGGCTTTACCCTTATAAAAGTCCGAATAAACTCTGTCTTAGTTTTATTGTGTGCATTCTTATCAGCGACGTCATTACGAACTATTGATTAGATTGTTGGCTTTAAATTTCTACCCACGCCGCCGAGTAACAATGACGTACATGTAGTTGTTTTCTCCAGTATCTGAATTTGATTGACATCATTACATTTCTGGCGATAGCACCAAGTAACAATGCTCCTGGTTCTGGCACCTTCAAGTTTTGCAAATTAAAATCAGAAAAAAAAGCACGAAATCTAGCCGAGGCTACCAAATCCTATGGCCTTTGATTTTTGTGTCCTAAGATAAAATAGGCACAGATCGTGAATTCTTTTAAGACTAGAAAAAGGGATCAGAATAAAGCATTAAGTGATCATGGAGGATAGGAAAGCGTGAACGTTCTCAGACATGTACAGATGGTTTAACTGACCACAGGTACCCCAAGCTCAGGTAGTTGTTGCGTAACAGAATAAGGAACTGAGTATAGTCGTTATCTAGGGCACAAAAACAGCAATAAAAATACATCAGAACTTGTACATTTTACCTTGTTTTCCAGTTTTATTCATGGTGTGTTCTTTTCTAGATCTTAACATACTTGGCCGTTTCAGCGCGATTCTAGCGAGTTTTTTTAAAAACAAAGATACAAGCCCTAAAAATATTTCTGTTACGCAACAACGGTCACTCGTAAACTTGGGGTGCCTGTAGTCTTACATGAGAGCGCTAACACTGCCAAATTTGGGATAAAGGTTAGTTTGATGATGAACTATCCTTGTAACTGTCTGTTCAAATTTTCGTTTGCGTTCAAACATAAAAGATTTAAACATTATAATAATCGTAAATTTTTTTAATGGAATTAATTTCCATCTGTTTTATGTAAAATCAGTAGAAGTTTTACATCTTGAATTAATAACTGAAAGTGCCTGTTTGACAGTAAGTCTTAGAAACTGCTTCATCTTGGACCACAATCCGACAGAAACGTCCATCATGTCATCGAACACGAACAAGTCAGTGTTCAATTGTCCGCAGATTCCACTATTCATATGGGAAGTTCATGACACCATTTCTCCTTGGATATTTGCTGCTGTTGCATCTATAATCTCACCCGCTGCAGTTCTTTTGAACGCGTTAGTTATCATAGCAGTTATGAAAAGGAGAGAACTGCAGAAACTTTCCAATATCCTGCTGTCAAGTCTGGCCGTTACGGACCTTCTTGTTGGTACTATATCTATACCGTTATCTGCTTTAAATGGATTCTTGCTTCCCTATCACATTCTTGCTGCTCAGGATATTTGCACGCTCGAAATGGCAACAGGCTGGTTGCCGATCACTCTGACATTTTGTTCCCTCTTTCATCTGGTGGTGATTGCATGGGAGAGATACGTGGCCATTCAAAAGTGGAGGGACTACAGAGTTATAGTGACTAAAGGCCGCTTGAAAAAGCTGGCCGCGATAGCTTGGATTTCTGGACCAGTATTCGTTTGTATCCCATCCACTATTTCCATAGCGGTCAGTGGACACATTACCATTGAAGTTCTCGCGGCTTTAATATGTTGTATGCTGGCACTCATCGTATATTTTTACGTCATGGTGTACCTTGGAGTACGCAAACAAAAGTTCAGTCAAATTTCCCAGGTCAGAGTGTTAGTGAGAATGAAACTGGAAAACAGAGTTGCGAAGACCACTGCATTGGTTACAGCTGCGTTGATCCTTTCCTTCGTTCCTGCTGTTTCTCTCACTTTACTGGGAGAGGTTTTTCCTGTTCTTCATAGAATGTCCTCAGTGCGCGTAGGGGATACACTGATGCTTTCAAATTCTTTAGTTAATCCACTCATTTACTGTTACAGAGACTGCCGTTTTAAGAAAGCTGTGCTCGAGATTTTGAAAATTAAAAAACCTAAACAAAAGAATGCAGTGGACAAAGTGCGATTCACCAAAAGAAGAGATGGGCGTGGTCCACCAAACGATAAGGTGCAGATTACACAAGAAGAAGATAAAAATATTTTGTTGAGAAGATCAGCATCCTTGGATTTGATCCGGTTTTTTGATCAAGCTTATATCGAGCCTAATAAGATGTTGGTTAAGAGAACCCTGTCGGCTCCGTTGATCCATGTTGGTGGCATTTCGGGCGTAGTATAGACTAATTAACGCTTCCACTACCATCGGCCATCGTGGTCCATGACGTCAAGAGCGCCATTTCAAGGTCCTCGAAACACGGTAAGAAGCGAGATCTTCATCCAGAACTGCTGCCACAAAGACCAAATCCTTTCAAAAAAGCAAAAAACAAAAAACGGATCCTTAAGAACGATGACGACTTTGGAAAACAGGAGACCGAACAGACTATTTTGCACACACGACTGAGATAATTTCAGTATAAGTAAAATCCTTTACATAATTATTATCAGGAGACGCGAAACTGGTCAGCCTTGGAAACGCTGGCTACAGTCTTCTCAGAAGTCGAGCTTAGCAGATATCTGCAGAGACTGCACTAAGCTTTCTTGCTTTATTTTATTTTCTGTCAACCTGGAAAATGTTCGTGCAACAAAACAACAACAAACTTTATCAGATAATAATAATAATGATGATGATGATGATGATGATGATGATGATGATGATAACAATAATATATGGATTTTGCCAGGGTTAAAAGCGAAGCTCTCGTTAATATCAATAGTTTACTAAACTAAATACAAAATCGTGTAACGCCAAGGGGCGAAGGCAACGAAAACAGCCAAAAAAAATCAGTAGGTCTAATTAGCAGAAAACACTTTGCACGTGCAGCACAATTTTTTTCTAATAAGCAAAAAAACAACTTTACATTTTTATTTTGTAAATTTCCTTGCCGTCGTTTTGCCCGACTACAACGTGAAACTTCCAGAAACTTCCTAGTTACACGTTTTATGGAGGAAATGTTGTATGTGGTCCTGTTCACTTTCTTTTCGCTGCCGTTCATTTTCAGCTTGGTGGCAGCTAGTATTTCCCNTTGCCGTCGTTTTGCCCGACTACAACGTGAAACTTCCAGAAACTTCCTAGTTACACGTTTTATGGAGGAAATGTTGTATGTGGTCCTGTTCACTTTCTTTTCGCTGCCGTTCATTTTCAGCTTGGTGGCAGCTAGTATTTCCCCTTTTTCTCACAGCCGCTATAAAAGTGTTATGTTTTTCTTCCAACGAAATTGGTCTCCTTTGGTTTTTATCTTTCGCTCTAGCTCTTTGTCTGTTATCCACGTCAATGTAGACATTGAAATTTAGTCGAAAGAAAGAATCGGCTTTTGTTGTTGTTGTTTTTATCTCTAAGGGGTGGACGTACGGACTAATGTACCCCGTACGGACAATTTTCTCAGAACCAAAATTTCTTGGATGCATAGATTTACCTAATTTTCTTACCCATAGTGCTCCGCTGCACGCGCTTCGCGCGCTCGAGAGCTCCGCTAATACTGATGAGAATAATGATGATGATGATCAGAATAATAAAAACAACAAACAACAAATAATCGAAAGCCTCGTTTAGCACTTTTCGAGGCGGGCCTAAGGGGAAAAAAAATATTCTAAAATATTCAGCCAGCCAGTACTTAGTGTTTTATAATTTAGATAATCTGTTATCAGTTACGTAGCATATTTGATTATGAGAGGGGGAAGTAGTGGTATAATTTTTAGTATTCTAGATTCACCATATTCAACGCACATTGTCTAATTTGCGAAGATCAATAAGTCTCATTATCATTCGATGCAAGTTTTTCTTCCTTTTCATTGGCCGAAAGACCACCACGTGACCTGCAAATATCTGCCTACAAATAATGAACCAAAAACGAGCAGTCCAAAGACTACTGCAAAGCTGATTCATAACATCGTGTATTAATTTCTTATAACAATATTTCGGCTGGCCATACCAGCCTTCTTCAGGTTTACAGATGTTACTGATCATACATGCCCCCCCTTCCCCACCGTGCATTGGACGACATTTGAAAGAAATAATTCTCTTGGGCACAGAGAACAAGCATACAAGCTAAAAGGTCTGTTTTATAATTTATGCAATAATTATACACACTCGCCATAAACAGTCCGGGCCACAACCAGATCTGGATATGTAATTTCCTGCAATGTGATTGGTCCAGACCGTAACCAAAACATTGATTTGACCGCAAAAGGACTAAGTTCGACAGAAATGTCGAAGAAAAGAGCGGTGTGGCTGGGATGTTCCTTGAAGAAAAGTAACAGCATGCAATTCCAAACCGATTAATAGAGATGATGTTATGCGTCTTAGCGTTCGGTTTACAAATATCAAGATGATAATGATCGAGGAAGGTTTCTGTAAAAACGCCTGGACTTCTGATATCAAGAGACCCGAAGCAACTCGACGACACCGATCGAAAGGGAAGAGTAGGGAATTTGAATACTTGCAATACTGATCCATTTTAAGTGGAAAGGTATAAAGAGGTCGTGTTTGGAGTACTTTTTGCGAGCACCGCTTCGGCCTAGAGTAGTGTGTTCTATGCTTCTTATGGAGCAATACCATACGCGCTAAAATCTAATTGCGATTGAAGGAGTGCTGGATATTAATTTTCAATATTTCAGTCGTCAAACATCTTGGATTATTAGGCGAAGGTAAAAAAATAAATAGAATTTCTGTAAATTGCACTCACGAAGGGTCGTAAACAGTCATTAATCAATGTCTGTCTTTTTGTGTTGCAAAACCCTATTGCGGATGAAAATATTAAAATACCATTCACCAGTTCAGAGATGGACTTTATCGTGTTCTAATAGCAATAAAGTGGGCTGGTAGGCCTACACAACTTTTATCTCATGCCAAAATGCTGCTCGTTCCAATTAAGCCAGGGGGCGGGGGGGGGACTCCGCATATGAAAGTGGTGGGGATGCTCGTCGTCTCGCTTAGGGGTGTAAATTTCGGATTTTGGTCTCATTTAGTGTGTTCTGGGCAAAACGCTATTATATTTAGCCGTGAAGGTCTCGTTTAGGGTTGCACGCGAAAAAATATAAAAAAATATATATTTGATATGTGTATTTTTAATTCGTTTTATTTACTCCATTCATATAATCCAAGTTTTCTCATTTGTCTGTGTTTTAACATGGTCTCTTTTAGGGATCAAAAAAAGCTTGGGCCACGCCCAGATCGGTCTCCTTTAGAGGTTTAATTCAAAATTTCCGACGAGCATCCCCACCCTTTTCATATGAAGAGTCCCCCCCCCGGGTAATTAAGTTTTTTTCCTCTGCTGGGTAGATTATGATCTGGAAGGCTACACATTTTCACTGAGCAATTGTGATTTTAGCCGCTTGTTCACACTGAGAGGTCATGGCACACATATCGATTTACTGTGGTTTTTGTATCTGGTCTGAAGGATTTCCCTCTGATGCAAGCGCATATTCTGTGACCTCAGTTTCTGAAGCGTCAAGAATTTTATTACGGCTGAATAAGGGTTCTAATTTTCTCCAAAGTGCCTTCTGGATCTGAATAACTAAGCGATTTTTGTTAGTCCGTGAATGTAAATAAATTTTTTTTTTTGCAATGTTGTATCACGCTGGGCCCAGCTCATGAGTTTCCTTTGCAGGATGTTAAATTATCACGGATAGTGATTTACAGATACAAAATTGTAAGAATTAAGTGCAGCTTCAACTGAAGCTGCATCAACTATGGAGAAATTCATTGTGACTCAGTAGACTCCAGCTTGGTGTTTTTCTATAAATGCGAGTCTTCTGACTGGAGCGCGTATTCCCTTCCTTGATATGTAATAGCTTTGAATAAGCTTAACAGTGTTTGAACTGCTTTGTTATTACCACTTTGTGATCAGGCAAGACCATGGTTACGGTTCTCCACGAACAAACCGGCGGCATCTTTTTGCCACAAAAACAAGGTGCTTTTGCTTTTGCATCCGACTGCAAGATAACATAAAATAAACATGGCGTTACAATGAAAACCTGCACGTGAACGGCGCAGCTGACTGTTGCATCTTCCAAAGCACAGCACTATTTGAATTCGCTATGCACTACACCAAAAAGACCACCATCAAAAAGCAAATTTTATGTAGATTTTTTCAGAAAAATTTTTTCAAGGATCAGAAAATTGAAACTCACCTTCTTTTTTAGATGTTTTGCGCCTTGTCCGGCATTTCTTTGAGCTGAAAAACTCTCGTGTTCGGTCGTTTTACTTCTCAAGAACGCTCAACGTTCATCGGACGGAATTTTTTCTTCACACCCCTGATTTCTCATTGTCTAAAGTCACAGCTCTCAAAGTAGTATGGGGAAAAGACGCTTCTAGGCGCGGCAAAGAACCCTGAAGTGACCTTCCCTCATGTTTCTCGGCGTGGGCGCCATTTTGCAAATGTGGGTGACGTCATCATATATCCAGATCTGGTTGTGGCCTGGACTGATAAAGGAAACGTGTTCTGTGCTTCCCTTGGAGTACAAACTTTGTTAATAACGTATAAGGAAACTCGATGGTGCTCTATATATTGACGCGAAATAGAGAGAAAAAAAAACCGGTTGTGCACGACCACACTACTTCAAGTTCGAAAAATGAACGTTACTAAGTAGATCCTTCCCTTTGGGTTTTGTTTTTGTTTTTGTTTTTGTTTTTCTCAAGTTTTGGTAAAGACCAGTCAGCGAATATCCATAGACAATGTACTTCTGGGAGAGCGGTTTAAAGTTAGAAAACTTTCCAAGTTTTTTTTCAGGGCGATACGGCTGAGCGAGCAAAGATATTGCTGCACAAAGTGGCGAAACTATACAGGCCTGAGACGTTTATATAGTGGCGGGCACGAACTTACCCCTCACCCCCACAGACCCGCACCACACAAACGTATGTAAAATTCGGTGACTTTGCAGAGCAACATCTTTCGTTAGTTTCCAACAAATCACATTTAAAGTAAATTAGCATCTCTACTAATTTTAAAGCATTCTTTTTTATTTTAGCCGTGTTGACGAATTTTTCACTTACTGGACTCACACAAAAATTATTTTAATAATTAATGCAAATTTCGCAATCTTATTGTTACCAGACAGCTGGCCTTGAAAAGTCTTGAAAAACTACCAGTTCCTGCAAAATCGAAAAATGTTTTTGAATATCGTGAAATTATAAATTGCCTTACTCCTTAAATTATTGAAAATTTTTGAGGTTTGTTGAACAAGTTACGGTTTTGTTTTACGGTATACCAGCTTTATTTCTGGAAACAGAACTTTCTTTTTTTACTTTATTTCTCTCTCTCTCTCTTTTTTTTTGTAAATTCACTAGTTACCATAAAGGATAGGCACAATTTGAACAGATCTTAAGCTCTGTAACAATTTTTTTTGCTGGAAAAGTAATTCCAGTTTGATACGAGTCTTTTAAATAAAGGTGTTTGGAAAAAAATCAAATATATAGATAAAATATGCCACTATGATAAATGAAGCTTACTTGCAGGAGGAAATTGCAGGAAAATCCGCCTTTTATGTTGGAACTCTTTGGTAATTTTTATCAAGAATGCTTATTGGCGGAAGACAGGTTCAAAAAAGAGGATTTAGTTAAAAATGCGGTGTTTTTTTTTTCGCCAAAGTGTTAAATTGAAGTTTATTTTTTTTACAAATACGTTTTTTTTTCCTATAATGAAAGCGCGATTCGGGCTTATAAGGGTGCTGTGCCCTATTTCATCAGCACTTTCCTATAAAGTTAGTTTGCAAAACAGTCTATATTTTTGCGTATTCAAGTACGCGCAAGCAGTCACACAAAAGGTCTGGAACAGGCTGAAAACAGAGAGCGAGACTGGTTTTTTTTCTCTCGCCTCACACGCCCGCTTTACCGATTTCTTTACTGATTTTGAGAAAAAAAACGACTGTTTTACAGTCTTTTATAAAGTGCAAATTATCTTAGCCTTGGAAAGCGCAATAATTGTTTTTATTTTATTTATTAATTTATGTTTGGATGTAAATTTTTTCATTTATTTTAATTTTCCTATTCAACCTTATTTGTATTGTTATGTTAGTTTGCCGTAATCAGTTTTTGTCTTATCTTATTAACTTAGGTTTGTTTTCATATTTCCCCCGCCTCGATTAGCCCTTTATTCTATTAGCGGTAGCGAAGTTTATTTTCTTTGTATCTGAACTATGTGGAATAAAATTGTTGTTGTTGTAAGTGCTGTAAACAATAGTTGTAGTTTTAAACTTGAAAACAATCCTGGCTATCGTAACTGCTATTCCCTTTTCAAGCTTCCGTTCTCTGCTTTCCTGTGGCACAACTGGATGAAGTCCGTCGTAGTTTTATTGTATGCATTCTTATCAGCAACGTCATTACGAACTATTGCTCATAATTTTAGCCACATTAAGAAGTAAAAAAGATAAGTTGATGTACAATTTAGCAGCTGGTCATGTTTGATGGGATCTTTTCTTTTCTACCCATACCGCTGAGTAACAATGACGTACATGTACCGATTCGTTTTTTCCAGCATCTTAATTTGATTGACATCAATTTCCTGGTGATATCTCTTGTAACAATAACTTATTAATTAGAAAACTGAGTCCTGGCACCTTCATATTTCGCAAAATGAAATTTAGAAACACGAAATCTGGTTAAAACAGCTTCTGAAAGCATAACTTTCTTTTCCCTTTTTCTTTTTTTGCCATAAAGGATGAAAAAATTTGAAAAGATTTCAAACATTTGTATTAATTTTTTCTTGTGGAAAGGTAACTCCAATTTGGTACGGTTTATATTAAATAAATATGGGTTTTTGGAAAACATCAAATTGACTTAAATTTGTCATGAAATGAAGCTTAAGAAATGAAGCTTAATTGCATCCAAACAGCAGGAAAACTTTCCATTTTTATCAATGCTAATTGCCGGTCCAGGAAGGAGGATTTGGTTAAAAAAACGGGTTTTTTTGGCCATCGCCATTGAAGTTTTGTTTTGCAGATAGGTCTTTTTTCATTATCAAGAAAGCCGGAATGAAACGCTCTCCCTGCACGAACGGTATTTTTCCTTTTTCATCTTGGCGCCTATGAAAGCGCTACACGTGATGGTGTTGTGCCTTATTTTAGCAGTACTTTTCTGTAAAGTGCATAATAAACGATGGTTGTAGTTTTGAACTTGGAAACAATCCTGGTTATCGTAACTGCTTTTCTATTTTCATACTTCCGTGCTCTGCTTTCTTGTGGCTTAGTTTGTTGTATCTTATCAAGTGGTTTTACCCTTATAAAAGTCCGAATAAAGTCTGTCTTAGTTTTATTGTATGCATTCTTATCAGCGACGTCATTACGAACTATTGTTTATTATTTTAGCCACATTATACTAAGAAGTACAAAAAAGATTATTGAGTTGATGTACAATTTAATTTAAACCTTTGTAACTTAGCAGCTGGTCTGGTTTGATTAGATTGTTGGCTTTAAATTTCTACCCATGCCGCAGAGTAACAATGACGTACATGTAGTTGTTTTCTCCAGTATCTGAATTTGATTGACATCATTATTTTCTGGCGATAGCACCAAGTAACAATGCTCCTGGTTCTGGCACCTGCAAATTTTGCAAATTAAAATCAGAAAAAAAAACACGAAATCTAGCCGAGGCTACAAAATCCTATGGCCTTTGATTTTTGTGTCCTAAGATAAAATAGGCACAGATCGTGAATTCTTTTAAGACTAAAAAAAGGGATCAGAATAAAGCATTAAGTGATCATGGAGGATAGGAAAGCGTGAACGTTCTCGGACATGTACAGATGGTTTAACTGACCACAGGTACCCCAAGCTCAGGTAGTTGTTGCGTAACAGAATAAGGAACTGAGTATAGTCGTTATCTAGGGCACAAAAACAGCAATAAAATACATCAGAACATGTACATTTTACCTTGTTTTCCAGTTTTATTCATGGTGTGTTTTTTCTAGATCTTAACATACTTGGCCGTTTCAGCGCGATTTAGCGAGTTTTTTAAAAACAAAGATACAAGCCCTAAAAATATTTCTGTTACGCAACAACGGTCACTGGTAAACTTGGGGTACCTGTGGTCTTACATGAGAGCGCTAACACTGCCAAATTTGGGATAAAGGTTACTTTGATAATGAACTATCTTTGTAACTGTCTGTTCAAATTTTTGTTTGCGATCAAACATAAAAGATAAACATTATAATAATCGTAATTTTTTTTAAAATGGAATTAATTTCCATCCTTTTATGCAAAATCAGTAGAAGCTAGCTTTATAGCTTAAATTAATAACTGAAAGTGCCTGTTTGACAGTAAGTCTCAGAAACTGCTTCATCTTGGACCACAATCCGACAGAAACGTCCATCATGTCATCGAGCACGACCAAGTCAGTGTTCAATTGTCTGCAGGTTCCACAATTCATATGGGACGTTCATGACACCATTTCTCCTTGGATATTTGCTGCTGTTGCATCTATAATCTCACCCGCTGCAGTTCTTTTGAACGCGTTAGTTATCATAGCAGTTATGAAAAGGAGAGAACTGCAGAAACCTTCCAATATCCTGTTGTCAAGTCCGGCCGTTACGGACCTTCTTGTAGGTGCTATATCTATACCGTTATCTGCTGTAACTGGATTCTTACTTCCCTATCAAATTCTTGCTGCTCAGCATATTTGCACGCTCGAAACGGCAACAGGCTGGTTCTCAATCACTCTGACATTTTGTTCCCTCTTTCATCTGGTGGTGATTGCATGGGAGAGATACGTGGCCATTCAAAAGTGGAGGGACTACAGAGTTATAGTGACTAAAGGCCGCTTGAAAAAGCTGGCCCCAATAGCTTGGATTTTTGGGCCAGTATTCGTTTTTAGCCCATCCACTATTTCCATAGCGGTCAATGGACACAATACCATTGAAGTTCTCGCGGCTTTAATATGTTGTATGCTTGCACTCATCGTATATTTTTACGTCATGGTGTACCTTGGAGTATGCAAACAAAAGTTCAATCAAATTTCCCAGGTCAGCGTGTTAGTGACAATGAAACTGGAAAACAGAATTGCTAAGACCACTGCTTTTGTTACAGATTTTTTCCTTCGTTCCTGTTGTTTCTCTTGCTTTACTGGGACGGTTTTTTCCCGTACTTCGTGAAATGTCCGCAGTGCGCTTAGGGGAAACACTAATGTTTTCAAATTCTTTGGTTAATCCACTCATTTATTGTTACAGAGACCGTCGTTTTAGGAAAGTTGTGCTCGAGATTTTGAGGATTAAAAAACCTAAACCAAAGAATGCAGTGGACAAAGTGCGATTCACCGAAAGAAAAGATGGGCGTGGTCCACTAAAAGATAAGGTGGAGATTACACAAGAAGAAGATAAAAATGTCTTGTTGAGAAGATCAGCATCCTTGGATTTGAACCGGTTTTTTGATCGAGCTTATATCGAGCCAAATAAAATGTTGGTTAAGAGAACCATGTCGGCTCCATCCGTCAATTCATCCAAACGCCTGCAAGACCATCGACCATCATGGTCCACGGTGTCAAGAGCGCCGTTAGAAGGTCCTCGGTGTGAAGCGAGAATATGATTCAGAACTACTGTCATAAAGAACGGTTCCTTAAGAACGATGACGACCTTGGAAAACAGGAGATAAAAGGCAAATGCGAGCGAACAGACTATTTTGCACCCACGACTGAGATAATTTCAGTATAAGTAAAAGTCTTTGCATAATTATTATCAGAAGACGGAAATTGGTTAGCCTTGGAAACGTTAGCTACAGTCTTCTCAGAACTTGAGCTTGGAGAGACTGCACTAAGCTTTCTTGCTTTATTTTATTTATTGTCAACCTGGAAAACGTTCAAGCAACAAAACAACATCAAACTTTATAAGATAATAATAATAATGATGATGACGATGATGATAATGATGATGATAATGATAATGATAATGATAATAATAATAATGACGATGATGATGATGATTATGATGATGATAATGATGATGATATTAATGATATGAATTATAAAAACAACAAACAAAAAATAATCCAAAACCCTATGTAACAGGTTTCGAGGCGGGCTTAAGGAAAAAAAACAAAAGTACTTAGTGTTTTATAATTTAGATAATCTGTTATTAGTTACAGAGGATATTTGATTATGAGAGGGGGAAGTAGTGATATAATTTTTAGTATTCCAGATTGATAATTTGCGAAGATCAAGAAGTCTTATTATCATTCGATGCAAATTTGTCTTCCTTTTCATTGGCCGAAAGACCACCACGTGACCTGCAATTACTGCTTACAAATAATGGTCTGCTCATGCGCAATGTCGTCCAACGGAGTTTGGCTGCAAATAATATTTTGCTCATGCGTAAACGAAACCACGCTTTTCTCCTTCTTGCGATCGTTCTTAATAATAATAATAATAATAATAATAATAATAATAATAATAATAATAATAATAATAATAATAATTATAATAATAATTATAATTATAATAATAATAATAATAATAATAATAATAATAATAAGAAGAAGAAGAAGAAGAAGAAGAAGATTTATATAGCTCCTATCCAGTAATAGATCTAGGCGCTTAACAAAGTGAAAAATTTAGAATTAAAAGTTAATTAAAATACATAAATTTAAATTTAAATAAAACACATATAAAATCAAATACATCTTCCTACTGACTAAAGTAAAAGTTCTTAAAAAGCTAGGTTTGTATGTCGTCAGGTAGTTTGTTCCAAAGTTCGGGGGCGGCAAGACAGAGAATGCTCTAGATCCATAGGTCTTAAGGTTAAAGCTAACAGGATTCAGATACCATATTGGTATCGAAGATAGCGCCAATGTTTCTTGCATATGGAGAGGGCTTGATTATGTCAGTTCCAAAGCGAAGATCTGAGAGGGGGTAGGGATTGTTGTAGATTATACTTTGAGAATAAGTAGAGAAGCTCAGTCTTGTCTTTGTTTAGTTTTAGTCTGTTGATGGACATCCACTTATCAATGTAAGACAGGCATTCCTCAATCTCAGTGATACTGTTGGTTAATTCCATGTCGTTGTTTGTAGAGAAAGAAATATACAATTGAGTGTCATTGATGTAAAAGTGAAATTGCATTTCATGGAATCGTAGAATGTCGGCCAGTGGTGCTGTGTAGAGTACAAACAGAATCGATTCAAGGACAGAACCTTGAGGTACGCCGCACTCGAGCGCCCGAGACTGCAGTCTACACCATTCGATTAAAACAAACTTGCGTGAAAATATGGCAGATCGCTTCGCCTTCCGAAGATATTTATTAAAAACAAACTTCGGCAAATAACAGGCCATTTGCATGTTGGCGTCATTTTACTACTATGACCAGGATCCTTCAGGATTTTGCTTTCTTTTGCAAATGAGGGCTTTTGTTATTTAAACCTCACTGGGATTACCAAATTTAAATATGAAAAGAAAAACGAAAAGAGTTCTGGTCATAGTAGTAAAATGACGCCATCGTACAAATGGCCAATTGATCTGCTCGCCACTCGGACAAATCACGATATTTTGCTCAATTACTTACTATCCACAGATTCAAGAATTATTTTAAGGAGCCCCTACTTTTCCTTATATGGTAAAAAGGTCTCAGGTACCATGCACACCCCCCTCCATGGAATAGCGAGGCAAGGCGTGCAAGTACCTCATATAGTATTAGTTATGACGTAATGAAAATAACTCTCGACCTCCCTGTGATCGTACATAACAACCCTTCCCCCCCCCCCCCACCCCCCCCCCCTGGCGGGGGAAGGGGGGCACTCAACAAAATTTTTAATCAGGGAGGCTCTGTCTGCTCGATTTCCATCGTTCCGGGAAGAAAACTCAATAAAACACAATTAAAATTGGAATTTTGTTTCCCTAATTCTGACCACGTGATGTTCTCCAGGGAATTTGCCTTTTGTCTATTCATTAATTATGATACATGTGCAGGTGGATTTACGTGCATAGGACGACATTTGAAAGAAATAATTCTCTTGGGTACAGAGAACAAGCATACAAGCTAAAAGGCCTATTACTGCATAATTTATCCATATTATGGCATAATTTATGCAATAATTATACACACTCGCCATAAAAGTCAAGGAAACTTGTTCTTTGCTTCCTTTGGAGTAAAAACTTTGTTAATAACGTATAAATAAACTCGGCTCGGGAACCACACATGAAAGAAGAAATAGACACTAAACTGAGGTTAGCTGATTTTTATTTAAATCATTGGTAGGTTACAGCGTCTTACAGAAACAATCGCTTATCCCTACACAACACCGCAAACTGCCTCTTATAAGAACCCTCTGTAAACGAAAAAATATATCCGATTATACCCCCGTCCTCCCAGATACAAGCCCCTTTCCAATTGTATGAATTCGATTTTATCATTATGAAGTATGGAAGCTTAATTATAATAATAACGAGTAGATGCTGAACGAATTTTGATAAGCATTGCTACAGCTTGTTTCGAAGGGCTTTTTATTCTGGTTATAAGCCTCCTCGGATACAAGCCCCTCCGTTTATAAGCCTTCCTATTGCCTAAAACCCATAACGAAGATGTGTAAGCCCAAGGCGCGGCGCGCAGTCTACGGTATTTGATATTTCGACCGTTACGCAACAGTAACCAGTATTTCGGGCGTAAGCCCGGCACTAGTCCCCCTCGCAGTCGTTTATGTCTCGTCACGCAACGCTCCTCCCGAGGCAAAAACGGCTGCGGGGGAACCAGCCCGGCACCTGAGTAAAAACCGACACTTGTCCTGTTTTAAACACCAGTTCGTCCTCCATTCTTAATGTCAGAGGCGAAATCCCTTACTATAAAATAGTTCGGATACATGCTAGAAAATCAAAAGTATATATTATAGCAGATCGCAAGCAGAATAACAAACAAACTAATAAACAAGGATTTAATTGCAAATTCTTGTCTTCGTTTCGCCAGTTGAGCCAAGAGAAGGCTTTGTCCTGCATTCACCCAAGGAAAGTCTTCCTGTGGAATTTCACATCCAAGAAACTTACACAAAGGTTCCCAGCCTTGTTTCAGGTTGTACACCAAAAGTCGCTCCTTAGGAATGACGGCCTGAACTCGTTCATTGTGCTCGCGATATTTTTTCCTAAACAAAAGGGCAGACTCTGTTTTTAAGCTACCCATCGCTGCAGTATCCACAACATCGGCCAGCATGTAATACATGGAGTGTCGAGACCATCTCTTGATAAACAGCTTAGTAAAGAATCCACTCCCGTTTAAATTTCTCAACGTATCGTTTAATTTTGTGTAGCTTTTCAGCCAGACTTCCTCGCTGTCTCGAACAGTCAGAATCACCTTTGCGTCCGGGAAAGATTCTGACATTTCTTGAAACCAAAAGGCCGGTGGAAGGTCGGTTACCGCATCAACATCTTTATACATGGAGGCAAAATCAGGGTTTTTGCCTTTCAAGTAGACAGCAAGCCATTCTTGGCCATGGAACTCTGCATGGTCTTTGTAATCGTAGACTTTAAAACCCAGTATCTCTAAAGCCCTTGCCATGGATGTAGTTCCTGTTCTTGAAAGTCCTGCGCAAATGACTTTCATGCTTGCAGCTCGTTGTCAGTTTTGGATCAGAGAGGGGTGTTTCTGAAACGAACAGCGTCTCCGTTTTGTATTATTAAGTTGTCGGTATCGCAGCCGTTTTTTTCACTCATCACGCAACGGAGGAGTGTTGCGTGACGACAGAGACAAAAACAAATGCTACCTAGGGAGACAAAGGCGTGGTTCAGGAGCCGTACTTTTCATGTGACTTTAGAGCGACACTGGCGCGACATCTGATTCCGGACGGCGCATCGTGTGTCGAACCTAAGTTAACTTCGTCAAAAGTCCGACAGATTCTGTCCAAATTAACGCTTTTGCCGCACAAACTAAAATTCAGACACCGTTCGACATCAGTTAGGTCCAGTTAGTTTCGGCAAATGAGTGTAGCGGCGTCTGAACACTGACTCGTCACCAGTCGTCTTCGCGTAACGCGCAGGCGGGCTTTGCTCTATCTTTTACTCTATCCTGAAATCTGATTGGTCAACAACAAAACAAAAGGGTTTATGTCGCAAAAATTGTTACTTTTCGCGTAGACTTGTACCCAGTCGCTATTTATGTGTTTTTGCAGGAGCCCATGGGTAATACGCTACTGATTGCACGCAATTTTTAGGTTACAATATTTATAAATCCATGTTGTTATTTAAACGCACTCCTAATACTCTGAGTAGCGTAGGACATAGGGCGAGCACAAACATCACCATACTCTTTCGGTGGTCGCTTTGAAGAGGTTACAAACAATGGAAAATTTTATAACCGTCACAAATGGCGTTTATTTTAGAGGGGGCGTCATTTACGATATGGGCTTTTTGAAAACGTAGATTTTTTTTTCTCCTTTTTCAAAACAATACGCGTACAGTGTGTAGCATACTCGAACCGCTTTCACCCGCCCAGACAAAATTTCGCAAGGCGGACCGGGATGGACTGGACTGCCTCTATGACATCATAGAATCCGAAAACCTCCGCTTGCGTCCGTCCACACGAATAAGGTAAGTCGGCGTGTTCAAAGACCTCCACTCAGGGGACGGTTTTCGTAAACCTTGTGTTGTTCGGTTTTGGAAGCAGCAAACGCCGTTTACCTCTGGCCTCGGTTGATCAAAAGCTGGATAGCGCTATCCACCGGATAAATCACTATCTAGCGGATAAGTACTTGGGAAACCAATCACGTTATCCAGTGGATAGAGATTTATCCATCGGATAGCGCTATCCACCTTGGACGAAAGATGAAAAGGGAAGAAAGAAATCTCCGTTTTGAAAAATGATCGGATACGTATGGACAGGGCCTATGCCTTAAAGGGGTCTTTTGGGTCACTTGACGTTTTTAAATCGAGGCTAGTCACTCTTGGCCTGCGTTGCGGACTTGCCACTAGAGTCCTAGATAAAGAACTCGATATAGTCCACGTCTATATCGGGGATTTAGACAGTGTACGACGCATCCTAGTCAATCTTAGTTTAAGTAATTCAATTTGGACGTTAAATCTAAATACATATGATATGTTCCCGAAAGTGGAAGAAGTCACGTTTCTTTTTATTGTATGTCATCATATATTTAAATATAAACAACTAAATAATTTAGCCGGAACACTTCCAAGTTCTTAAAGGGTCATAGCCACCATGCGAGCAGAAGTTCGTTTTGCCTTCTTGAGTGAGGAGGAGAAGAGAAGACTCGCGTGGCTCTGCCTGAATCATGTCAAACCTGTGAGGTCGCCACAGGCCAAACTGGTCAAACTGGTTTGCCAAACTGGTTTTCTCGAGTGCGAGCATCCTTTTATTGACGAACCGATGCTCAGAACCAAGCCCCCTGTAGCGAGCGCACGGCTATTAGGCCTGGTTTCGAAACTATATCCTAGCTAGATGCCGCGTATGTTCAACAAAGATCTTGCTCGATTCACTGTGAGTCTTTCTCGTGTAAGGCACTCTAGGCTCTGTTGACAGGCAGGCTGGCTCATAACCTGCAAAGAGCAGATCAATGTGATTTTCTTAACTTGCACAGAGCTGAAAGTCAAAGTCTATTTCTCCAGTAGCTGGTTCAAAACTAACAGAATATCGAACACGGGGAATGTTTTCTTTTATGAGAGCCTCATCTTCAATTCGAGGCGGTGACTGAATGAAATATACGCCTTGTTTAGTATGACGAACCCAGTGCAACTTTGGCTGCGACTTGCCGTTCACTTCTTGATTCTGTAAGAACGAAAACGAGAAAGAAAATGACACATTAAAGTTAAAGGAGCTGTGCTCTCGAAATTTATCAAAATTCAAACAGTACTAACTTCCACCAAATTGAGTGAAAGACAAAAACAGCCGATCAAACATTAAAAGAAGGTATAATAACAAGGCATATACAAAAGAAGGCACAGCTGAACAAAGTTGAAGAAGATTTACAAATAACTTCTTTGCGAGCGTTACGTTCCATAGCGCATAAGGATACGTCGTGACAAAATGAATTGGACCTGAGTGTAAGAGTTGGGGGTCAGCAGGCAAAGCGTGCAGAATGGGGTCTTGCAGACAAATCACTTTACCGGGGTAGGTATGGTATTTTACAAATCTAAAAGTGTTATTCACTAGACACAAACTTGAATACCTCTGCAGAGGCAAATGAAAAACAGCTCAGCATATAGCCAGATTCTAACACGAGCCAGATTTAGGGTGTGTCTGTGAGTGTGTGTGGTGGGGGAAGGGAGTAGGGGTTAGGGTTAGACTAGTGGATTAGAACACCATCTTTACTTTTCACCGAACCGCAGGTAGATAGTGGAAGATATAAGGGCAGTAAGCCAGCTAACTATTTTTTAGAGCAGCTCAATTTGAATTTTTTGCCATAAGAGTAGCATCAACTAACGAGATCTGCATATAAAAATATGTCAGTTTTATTTTTTCTACTAAGTGGAGTTTGTTTGTTTTTCGAAGCACCCCATGGAAAAATCGGAACCGGCTACCCTCCCTTCCCCTACCTCGATACTAATGTCCCATATCCGTCCTACTCCCCGTAGCCTTTTAAGCTTGAGTGACGCACTGGCGTGAAAAAAACATTACCTTTTGTAATCCTGTTGTGACTGTTATGTCATCGGTGAGATGAAACTCCATCCATATTACAATACCGTGGAGAGTTCCGGAGCTGAAAAAAGGGAGCAGTGTTTAGAACAAATAAATAAATGAATGAATGAATGAATGAATAAATGAATAAATAATAATAATAACAATAAATAAATAAATAAAGATTTAGCCGGTAGTAAATACACTTAGTGGCTCTAAGTCTACCTGATTCCTGGTCGAATTGGATTTGAAAAATGTGCGTTTTGGAGAAGAGGGGAAAATCGGAGTACCCGAAGAAAACAGAAACAAATGTATACTAGAATTAAACTATCACAAACTAAAAACCAGGTATTTAAGACATGTCACAGTAGTAAATAAATAAAAGAACGGGGAATAGAGAAGCCTCACTAATAACCCTCTTCATAAGAGTCATAAGAGTAGAAGAAAGCTATCCGATATGCGACGTTCCACTTTCACGATCGGCCCTGCGCAGCTTCGCTCCATTACAGAAATCGCGCCAAAATGACCGTTCCAACAAACAACAGGGTAGCAGACCAACTCTAGAGTAAACAACAACGAAGCCCAGTTGTGGCCCAGCCACGCAACGGCGTTGCGTGACAGTAAAATTATAACTGAGAACTGACAAATGGAACATTTCTCCCTCTGACTCGTCCCCAGTCGTCTTCGCCCCGCGCGCCACTAGGAAGAGAGAGTAAGAGACGACTGGGTACGAGTCAGCTTCTCCCTACATCTGCCATTCACAGAATTACCTTAGTATTTTGATATCCCCCTCCGTCTTAATTTTTTCGGCGGGTACATTTTTCGTGAAGTCAAAAGTCATGATGGTGGAATCTTGAGTTAGCGCCCGGCAGGGGTACTCCCATACATGATGAGGCTCCAGAGCTATTCCATGACTTTTTTCGTTATTAATACCTTCATTTTTTAGCTTTGAACCCTGTTATATTGAAACAAAAAAATCCGTTGATTTGAGATTAAATAACAACACATTTTGAGTTTTGAAAATATAGCCCAACGCGGCCGAGGGGAGGGGCGGGGGGGTTTGGGGGACTCCCTATGATGGCCTATACGGGGAGGCTCCGCCCGAAAGGGGTATCTTTTTCAGGCTTCAGGTATATGAAAGGGTAGAGATTTTACTCGTTGAAGTATGTAAATGGGTATGGAAATCTGTTATTTGGGTCTGTGAAAGGTCCCAAAACATGATCACACATGAATTTTATGGCGTTATAAAGTCGAGAAAACGTTCTATTTTTGTGAGTGATTCCTATTTAACGCACAGTGCATTTACAGCAGTTAAAAGGGATGCAAAGTTCTAAACAAGGTATATGGAAGTGGCACAATTTGTCGATAGAAGGTAAACGAAAGGGGCACCTATTTCGAGAAAAATGGTCTATAAAAGCGACATGGGTTGGACCTCGGTTGGAGCCTCCCTTCATAAACATTTGTTGACCCGGCTGGGAGAGCCAAAGTTAGTCCGGGTTGGAGGGTGACCCTACCATTTAGAAAGAGAGACCCGGCAACGTGGATCACTCTTCTAGCCGAAACAACCTTTTATTTCTTATGTAAATGGCTCAGCAAGTTTTGTAAGGAAATGTAAGAAACTCTGGTAGGCGAGTGACCTTCTACCCGACCAAGCCGCAAAAAGGTTCACACGTTGCCCACTATACTGCTTTTCAAAGTTTTAGAAAAGACCTTAATGTCTGAAGGAAATTTTTTGCTGTGTTCTCAAATGCTATCACAGGAATGTATAGAACGCAAAGAGGAGACAATTGATTAAACGATATCAGGCATGAAACGTACCAACTGCGTCATAGAAATCGTGAACTACGCCCATGCAGAGTAGCAAAAAAATTTTATAATCCATTCACTACCTCAATGAGTTTGTCAAACAAAGTCACGTCAAATCCTTCCACTGTATTCACTGGAGTATGGAACTTCCAAAGATCTTCAAATTCCACTGAAAATAGACCAGACCATAATCACGGTCAAAATCAATTTTCATAATTATCATAATTATTAAATATTAAATAATTTATTTATTATAATTATTACA